GGTTAATATCGAGCCTAGGAGAACTGGCCTGCTATCCTTCCACCGACAGGAGCGGAAGGTTACGCTGCTCTGTGAAGCCAGCCTCACGCGGTTTCCTCCAACCTCTAAAGACAATGGACACTGGCCTTCGACCAAAGCCCATGAACCAACTCCCTCCTTGGAATGGACAGGCCAGAGAACGGTTGAGCCAACCTCCAACCACTTTGTTGCCCCCATATGGGTTACAAGCTCACACTACATCTAATTTCAAATCTGTCAATGCGGGCTTATTGGAGATGAAAAACCTATCGAACATCTAAAAAAAAGAAAAAAGTGTAATGTCAGGCTGAGGACTACCCAGAGGTTAATATCGAGCCTAGGAGAACTGGCCTGCTATCCTCCACCAACAGGAGCGGAAGGTTACGCTGCTCTGTGAAGCCAGCCTCACGCGGTTTCCTCCAACCTCTAAAGACAATAGACACTGGGCCTTCGACCAAAGCCCATGACCCAACTCCCTCCTTGGAATGGACAGGCCAGAGAACAACTCCAACAACCCTAACCAATGGATTGAGCCAACCTCCAACCACTTTGTTGCCCCCATATGGGTTACAAGCTCACATTACCAAGCTCGGCGATATGCTTTTCCCAATGGCTACTTTATGAAGACTACATCCAATTTTAAATCTATCAATGTGGGATTGTTGTAGATGAAAAACCTATCAATCTCACTTCTTCAAACATTTTGAAAAAAAAAAAAAAAAGGTATGTGAGGACTACCCAGAAGATAATATCGGGCCTAGAAGAACTGGCATGCTGTCCTTCCACCGATAGGAGCGGAAAATTAAGCTGCTCTGTGAAGCTAGCCTCACGTGGTTTCCTCCAACTCTAAAGACAATGGACACTGGCCTTCGACCAAAGCCCATGAACCAACTCCCTCCTTGGAATGGACAGGCCAGAGAACGGTTGAGCCAACCTCCAACCACTTTGTTGCCCCCATATGGGTTACAAGCTCACACTACATCTAATTTCAAATCTGTCAATGCGGGATTATTGGAGATGAAAAACCTATCGAACATCTAAAAAAAAGAAAAAAGTGTAATGTCAGGCTGAGGACTACCCAGAGGTTAATATCGAGCCTAGGAGAACTGGCCTGCTATCCTTCCACCGACAGGAGCGGAAGGTTACGCTGCTCTGTGAAGCCAGCCTCACGCGGTTTCCTCCAACCTCTAAAGACAATAGACACTGGGCCTTCGACCAAAGCCCATGACCCAACTCCCTCCTTGGAATGGACAGGCCAGAGAACAACTCCAACAACCCTAACCAATGGGTTGAGCCAACCTCCAACCACTTTGTTGCCCCCATATGGGTTACAAGCTCACATTACCAAGCTCGGCGATATGCTTTTCCCAATGGCTACTTTATGAAGACTACATCCAATTTTAAATCTATCAATGTGGGATTGTTGTAGATGAAAAACCTATCAATCTCACTTCTTCAAACATTTTGAAAAAAAAAAAAAAAAGGTATGTGAGGACTACCCAGAAGATAATATCGGGCCTAGAAGAACTGGCATGTTGTCCTTCCACCGATAGGAGCGGAAAATTAAGCTGCTCTGTGAAGCTAGCCTCACGTGGTTTCCTCCAACTCTAAAGACAATGGACACTGGCCTTCGACCAAAGCCCATGAACCAACTCCCTCCTTGGAATGGACAGGCCAGAGAACGGTTGAGCCAACCTCCAACCACTTTGTTGCCCCCATATGGGTTACAAGCTCACACTACATCTAATTTCAAATCTGTCAATGCGGGATTATTGGAGATGAAAAACCTATCGAACATCTAAAAAAAAGAAAAAAGTGTAATGTCAGGCTGAGGACTACCCAGAGGTTAATATCGAGCCTAGGAGAACTGGCCTGCTATCCTTCCACCGACAGGAGCGGAAGGTTACGCTGCTCTGTGAAGCCAGCCTCATGCGGTTTCCTCCAACCTCTAAAGACAATAGACACTGGGCCTTCGACCAAAGCCCATGACCCAACTCCCTCCTTGGAATGGACAGGCCAGAGAACAACTCCAACAACGCTAACCAATGGGTTGAGCCAACACCTCACACCTCACATCTAGAACAATCACATGGAATTCTACCTCTTTATTGAGTCTAAAAGTTTGTAACATTGCTTTCATTCAATTTGTTTTTTGTGCACTTCTGTCAAATGTGGCTTGAGGCCCGATCATACAACTCCACCACCCATGAGCTTTGTGCCCTAAGTTACTCCATGGTACATATGTATGTTAGATATGGCTGAGCGTCCATGACAACTTCTTTCAAAATGGATTTTCAAGGATAGTGTTAGATAACATGGGCATACCAACATTACGCCCCAACCCATTTGATATATGGACGCACTATCCGATACAGAGTCCATAAACGACATGACATGGACACAGGAGAGTTCATATCCTAATAGAATTTGGATGCATAGATGTTTGGGATGTTCTGGGCTGATATGATTGATACAGGGTTAGTTCTCGATAAACATGTCCGAGCAAGCCATGATGGCTAAGTTGTCTCGAGACATAGGATGACATCATAGATGCATGGGTCGTGAAAAAATGTGAATGAGACTTTCCATTAAGTTCTTATTAAATAATTACGGTTTAATTTCCATTATGTTTTTATTAAATAATTCAGACAAATTGTGAAGTAGGAAAAAAAAAATAACATCGTCTATTATTCACTTCATTAAAAATACCACATACAAACTTTGATGCTCAAGCAATATGACTCTTAATATTACTTAACATAACTATGAGTAAATTGGAGTCATGAGAGTTTAATTTAGATGGGACACTGCAAGAAGAGCATTATTTTCGAGAATTGGAAGTGAAGTGAATTTTGTAACAAAATTCATACCTTCAACTCTCAGCTACCTGCCCACAGTCCTCAATCACAACTGTTTGCTTAGTACTCCCACTGTCTGAACCCACATTCTCCATCGCCTTTACCACACTATAACCATCCACAACTTTCCCAAACACAACATGCTTCCCATCCAGCCATGGAGTCTTCTCAGTGCAAATGAAGAACTGAGAACCATTGGTGTTCGGTCCCGCATTCGCCATCGAAAGGACTCCGGGTCCGGTGTGTTTCATCTTGAAGTTCTCATCTGCAAATTTCAAGCCATAGATAGATTCTCCTCCTGTTCCATTACCCTTTGTGAAATCTCCTCCTTGGCACATGAAGTTGGGGATTATACGGTGGAATGTTGAGCCTTTGTAGTGCAATAGCTTCCCTGATCTTCCCATCCCCTTCTCTCCGGTGCAGAGGGCTCGGAAATTCTCTGCAGTTTTTGGCGTTGTGTCTGCAAACAGCTCCATAACAATCCGCCCTGCTTTCATCTTCCCAATCAAAATGTCGAAGAACACTTTTGGATTGGACATTGTTCTCTGCTGCACCTGAACTTCAAATTGGGCTCTGTTAATGATTAAGATAGGATGATTGTAAGAGTAATGACGAGTTGGCACAGCTGTTAATAAGTTCTTAATCTAAGTATACACAAATAAGTCATAATTGAAAACGGCGTGTCTCCAAAACACGATAATTATGTACTAAACATAATTTATTTGAATGAATGTCTTAAACACGCAATTTCAGATTAGATTCTTCAGACCTAAATTTACTTAAAAAACTGTCTTTCACATATCATTCTCCAGAAAACACCTCGTAATCTTGACAGTGCATTAAAAAATTTCACAAAGCATTGACATTAGCCGTTTTCTTACTAATTTCTCAGGAGACAAGAAGAAAATGAACTACAATCTAAGCCAACATGTAACTTATGACACTCAAGAAGCACTAACAATATGAATCACATTGACAAGGAAGAAAAAATTTAAAACAGAAACAATATCTAGAATCTCCATACATCTCACGCCCTAGTAAACAATAAAAAGTCAGGAAAAAAAAGAGCCTCAATCAAAATCAATGAAAGGCGAAAGACAGATCAGAAAATGTTCGTCGTCGCTCCCAAATCCAGTAGAGGTCAGACACGAAATCGGTCTATAAACTCAAAAGGACGTGCAGTGAGAGCATACGACGAGGAAACAATGTCGCACAAATTTTGAGCTCAGCAGGCAGTCATACAATGAACCTGAAAGCCTTCGATATGTGCTTTGGAAGAACGAAGAATATGGAATTCTAGGGAAAAACTTCAACCGAAAAGTAAACGATGAAGACGAGAGAATGTACCTATGAAGCAGTGAAGTATGGGAATGGAGAATCCGATGGAGAAACTAGAGCTCTCTGTTGCTTATAAAGAGGAGCAGAGATTAGGGTTTTGGGGTTTTAGAAAAGACATGAAAATTTGCAATCCCATCCTTATACTTTTCAATTTGTGATACATTCCCCATAAGTTGCTACTAATTCTTTTTTTACCCTAAGAAAATGAAAATTGTATATTTGGATTAACGAGTTCTAGTTGAGTTGTGTTGAACAAATCTTTTACCCTAACTCGAAATTTTAGATTGGCGGACTCTCTCGTACCCATGTCATATCATTTACGGATACCATACCGAATAGCGATTGCATAATCTAACCTTCGACACGTGGGCTGGAGTGCAATACTGACACACCCGTACCACCCGATACTATCCTTAAAAAACTCATTTCAAAAGAAGTAGCCAAAAACACTCGTCTTGGAACGTTCACCCTCATTATGACACACACAATTTCAATGCACTTCGAGTAGACGTCATTTTGGTGAACAATCATATGGTACAGTGGAGCGTCCGTCTAGTGTTTTATTGATACAAAATTTGACAAGCATTCATATTTATATCCTCTAGTTCCAAATAAAAATATTAAACTCATTCACATGTGTCCCGTAACCATCTCAATCAAATCATTTGTAATTCTTAAAAATGAGTTATATCGAATTATTTCTTTATTTTATTTATTATTTTTTTGAATTGCAAATCCAAAAGCTCTTTGTAAGAGATGATATTTTGGATGGAGGAAATAGAGATATTTTGGTGAGGAGGCGCAGATGTGGAAGGCAAAGGGCGTAAATGGACCAACTGATTCTCTCCGCCGCCTCTCCGTCAGGCTCCGGCCACTCCCATTTGAATCTCCAACAGACCCACCAAATCCATGCCCATTTCATCAAAACCCAATTCCGTAACCCTCACAATTTCTTCTCTCGATCCAATTTCACCCCTGAAGCCAATTTCAATCTCCTCATTTCATCTTACACCGACAACCACCGCCCACAAGCAGCCTTCAACTTGTATCACCATATGCGCACCACTGATGCTGCTGCAGTTGACAACTTCATTGTTCCTTCACTTCTCAAAGCCTGTGCTCAAGCTTCCTCTACAAATTTGGGTAGGGAAGTGCACGGTTTCGCGGTTAAGAACGGGTTCGTATCGGACGTTTTTGTGTGCAATGCTTTGATGAACATGTATGAGAAATGTGGGAGTTTGGTTTCTGCTTGCTTGGTGTTTGATAAAATGCCTGACAGAGATGTTGTCTCTTGGAGTACTATGCTTGGGTGCTACGTGCGGAGCAAATCGTTCGGTGAAGCATATAGGCTCGTTCGAGAGATGCATTTTGTGGGAGTGAAGCTTAGTGATGTTGCTTTGATTAGCATGATTGGTGTGTTTGGGGAGCTCTCGGATATGAAGTCCGGGAGGGCGATTCATGGTTACGTTGTGAGAAATGTTGGTAAGGAGAGAATCGAACTTCCTTTGACGACTGCGTTGATTGATATGTACTGCAAGGGCGACAATTTGGCATCAGCAATGAGGCTTTTCAATGGGTTATCTCAGAGAAACGTCGTTTCTTGGACGGCGTTGATAGCGGGTTGTATTCGCAGTTGCAGGTTTGTTGAAGGGGCAAAGAATTTTAGTAGAATGCTTGAAGAAAACATAGTTCCTAATGAGATCACTTTACTAAGTTTGATAACAGAGTGTGGCTTTGTGGGAGCCTTGGATTTGGGCAAGTGGTTGCACTCCTATCTGTTAAGGAATGGGTTTGGGATGTCTCTGACTTTGACCACTGCTCTCATAGACATGTATGGAAAGTGTGGGCAAGTTGCATATGCCAGAGCTCTTTTCAATGTCGTCGACGAAAAAGATGTCAAGATTTGGAGTGCTTTGATATCAGCTTACGCACACACGAGTTGCATCGATCAAGCTTTTAGCCTCTTCCTTAAGATGTTAGACAGTGAGGTGAAACCAAATAAGGTAACAATGGTTAGCCTACTTTCTTTATGTGCAGAGGTTGGAGCCCTTGACCTTGGTAGGTGGACTCATGCTTACATAATCCATCATGGTGTCGAAGTAGACATCGTTTTAGAAACAGCTCTCATCAACATGTATGCAAAATGTGGAGATCTTAAAACTGCTCGTAGCCTGTTCGATGAAGCCACACAACGGGACATTCACATGTGGAATGCAATGATGGCTGGATTCTCAATCCATGGTTGTGGAAAAGAAGCTTTAGAACTCTTTTCAGATATGGAATGTCATGGTGTTGAACCTAATGATATCACATTCATTTCTGTTTTTCACGCTTGTAGTCATTCTGGATTGGTAGGGGAGGGAATGAAGCATTTTGACAGAATGGTTCATGAATTTGGAATAGTTCCAAAGATCGAGCACTATGGATGCTTGGTGGATCTTCTTGGTCGAGCTAAACGTCTCGACGCAGCTCACAGCATCATTGAAAACATGCCCATGAGGCCCAACACAATTATATGGGGTGCGCTGCTAGCTGCATGTAAGCTACATAAGAATCTGCCCTTGGGGAAGGTGGCTGCAAGAAAGATTCTTGAATTGGACCCAGAAAACTGTGGGTATAGAGTTCTTAAGTCAAACATCTATGCATCCGAAAAGAGATGGACTAATGTAACGAGCATTAGAGAATCAATGAGCCATTTAGGGATGAAGAAAGAACCGGGACTCAGCTGGACTGAGGTAAATGGCTCAGTTCATCACTTCAGATCTGGAGATAAGACATGCACACAAGCAAGAAAAGTACATGAAATGGTGACCGAAATGTGCATCAAATTGAGAGAGGCGGGATACGCACCGAACACATCTGCAGTTTTGTTAAACGTAGAAGACGAAGAGAAGGAATCTGCACTCAGTTACCATAGTGAGAAACTAGCCATGGCATTTGGACTCATAAGTACAGCCCCGGGTACGCCCATCCGAATCATTAAGAATCTGAGGATTTGCGATGACTGTCATGCTGCAACAAAACTACTATCGAAAATCTATGGACGAACAATAATAGTCCGAGATCGAAACCGATTTCATCACTTTAGTGAAGGATATTGTTCTTGTCTAGGCTACTGGTAAGATAAGATTCCAAATTGCGGTCATGTACGTATTAATTTCAACAATACAATTAAGGTACATATTTTTTTGTTATGAGCAAACATCAAAGGAAATTTTTTTTGTTATGAGCAAACATCAAAGGAAAAACCTTGATCAATTTGTCAACCAAGCCACTGTTGTGCTTTTCGATCGCCACTAGCCCCAACAGAATGTCGAATGCTGATCTTCTCATTGGCGTATTTCTGTTGCAGCCATTCAAATCCATTTACATCGAGCTTACCCGAGACTGATTTTCCTTGTTTCCTACGATTTTGTTGTTCCCTCACTGAAGCCCACAATTTCCCAATCGCGTCCCGTTGCTGTGATGTGAACCTCATAACATTATCAAAGGCATGCTTCACTAAGATATCAATGACAGTTTGACACCTAAAGGGAGAAGGTATAAGTTAGTTTCACAACAACACAAGGAACTGTGCTATAGCATTGTAGTCAGTGCAGATTGTACCATGGAATTTTATACCGATGAGCAGCAATTTCTAAACAACTAGTTAAGGCTTCTCTTTGTGCTTTGAGAAAACTCTTAGCCTCCACTTCTTCATCCTGTCTAATCTTGGATTCCACATCATTTTTTCCCTTTGCCCTCTCACCTTTCTTCAATGAACCAGGCAGAAAAGCTTCGAGTCCAAACGGGTCGGATTCTTCCTGGCTTTTCTCTTTGGCTGGAGCAGCATTTTCCTTTTTCTGATGTTCATCATCTGTGTTCTCTTCGTGAACTTTAAGTGCTTCAGCTTCCTCAACGTCGTCCTCCTTAGTAGCAACTGGAAGATTAGAGATGGCTTCTTTTATTTGTGTTGCTGTCTTTGAAAACTACATGGTTCATAAAGTCAAGCATGAAAAAAAGGAAAATTGATGTTCCAAGAACAAAAATAGTACAATGGTCAAAATAACCAACAAGAATCAAAGTCCCCATTCAAGGAATGTTTCGTTCCCTTCTCTAACCGATGTGGGATCTTACAACCCACCCCCTTGGGGCCCAACGTCCTTGTTGGCACACCGCCGTGGTGTGCGCTTTGATATCATTTATAACAGCCCAAGCCCACTACTAGCAGATACTGTCCTCTTTGGGCTTTCCTTTCTGGGCTTCTCCTCAAGGTTTTAAAATGCGTCTGTTAAGGAGAGGTTTCTACATAATGTTTTGTTCCCCTCTCCAACCAATATGACATCTCATACATTTTCTTTGTTTTCTAATCTATTTCCAAAACCATTTTTCATATCCACATTTTAAAACCTTAAAAAGAAAGCCATTTCATAAAATCCTTTTAAAAAAAGACGTTATATGAGAACCTTTTAAAATTACGCTAAGATTTTTGAAGCGTTTCTAGAAGTGATAAACTAAAGAAAGAAAACCCATGTACATTAACGTTTTATATCCTCATATAGCATCAATCACATCCAAAAGGAGCAGTGGCTTTGATTAAACAAGTATGGTAAATAATAAAAGTGAGTACAATCGTTGAACCCTAGACTCAATTTCGGACATTTATGAAGTGTGGAGCATATTACTAACCCAAGAAGTTTAGAATCTAAAGTATGTTCATAGATTTTTCGAAAACAAAATTTTGAGAAATTTGCAGTACTAATTAAACTCGATAACAGTAAACGTAGATTCATTCAGTACGTGCTTAAAAAAAACGTGGATAAAAGAGGAGAGTCGGACCACAAAACTGTCATCTGTCAACAAATCATTTGCCACTACAGCCTGAATCGTCCAGGTTGATAACTGGTTCTTCTGCTTTTTGTTGAGGCACTGAAAATTAAAATAAGAAACCTTGTTAGAAAATTAAAATAAGAAACCATTGTTAGAAAATTAAAATAAGAAACCATTGTTAGAAAATTAAAATCTCATTTAGAGAAACAGACTCAGAAAATATCATTACATCAACTGTAAAACTTAAAATATGATCATCATACTTCCATTGTAGATTGTGCAGCTGAGAACAATGCATGATAATCTCCTCGTACCGAGGGATCAGTACAAGGAGTGGATGAAGACATGGACATGGCAGCTTCAAGTATGGCAAAGAAATGATCACTCGTAGCTGCCTTCACGCTTCCCGCCTGAATGAGCTGTATGGCAAGTTTTGCAGCCTTACCAAACTTGGTGGGGTTCTTAATATGTGAAGCTATCTTCTGCATAGCCTCCATAACTTGGGCCTCTGAGGCATCTGTGGTGGTTTTGAACCTTAAACGCTTTCCCGGTGCCGGTGCTGTAGCTGAAAACCATACTCCATACTTCAGTTTCTACCAAAGTTCATACAAAAACATATTGAATTTAAGTTAAATTATAAATGGTGTCTATTTAGTTCCTAAACTTAAAAAGTTTGTACCATGTTCCTGTATTAACATTAGAACTGTGATTCTTTGTAGTCCTACTGTTAAATAAATGATGACATGATACTCTTTTGTCATTTGTATACCCATGAAAGCAACCTAAATTTCTCAAATTCAGTCATATCGCATAGGGACTGTATAGAATCCAAATTCAAAGTTCAAGAACACAATAAGAACTTTTAAACTTTATGGACTTAATAGACACAACCATCCAAGTTTGGATGCTAAATTTTCATTAAACCTATAATTGAAGCATATGAACGATGTTAGAGACCAGATGAAAAATCATACAAAAATTCTCACTAAGAAATCCTTACAACTCCCCTTTCATCCTTTAATTTTCAAATCCTAATCAAATAGCTCCAGCTCCGTATGCCCAATTCCTATTCCTTAATTATTTCTACTTCAAAGAACTAAAAGAGAGATCCGAGAATTAAAAATCCCCTAAGAAGCATAGAGTTCAATGAAATATAGAGCCAAGGATGAAATAAAATCAAAATCGAAGCGATTTAGAAGGAGAACAGGAGGAGACCTGTGGGATTGGGTTCCAGGGCAGTCTTCGGGCGCTTGAGGGCGCTCTTGATGACCGGCGGAGGGCATGAAGAAGAAGAAGCAGGGGGATTAGGAGACGGATCGGAGGGCCGATTCTGAGTGGTGTTTGCGTCATATAGTTGGGTCTCCGGCGAAGGGTCTATCGCTGAAATCGGCGGTGGAAGCCCTTCGAAGAGGTTATCGGCCATCTTTCCCGGTCCCGCCGATCTCTCGACCGTAGCAGAACTCCTCCACAACCTCCCTGAGCTCGATCTTGACCGAATGCCGAGTTATTTAAGCGATTGTAAGTGAAAGGTGAAAGTGAAGTGAAAAGCTCGTCTCTCAGTTTTGCCCCATTTTGCAAATAAACTTCGAATTAGGGCTTTTGCATTAGCAAATAGCAATGATGGGTTTTTTAAATTTTGGTTAGGTTAAATTTGACTTTACACGTCTAAAGTTTTTAAACTTAAGAAATTATAATCTAACTCTAAGATTTAATTCTCATTAATGGTACGTCAGCTAGCACATCTTAGTGTTCCTTACAAGTATTACTTGAGAGACATACTTGAGTGATGCGTGCCTTCCCGAGCTAGCTTGTTTGTGAGTTAGGGGCATCAATTTTTTTGAAATTTATTTGGTAGGTAATAATTCAAATAAAAATTGACAAACAGGAGTCGAACAGGGTATAAACAGACCTCACGTGCATTGTCATGAACAATAGAAGACTCTTACGTGCAATTTTATGGGCGCATGTCGGGTGTCACAATTGCGATTTCTAGGTAGCGGATTTGGCGATTGTGCGGCACCCACTCTCAGTACTGAGTAGGTCAACCCTATTTCGAGTTACGTTGCCTGTGGTCAGGCAACGTGAATACAAACCTCAGGTCTCGATTTCAAGATAAGATTTTAGAAAGTAGGGAAGAGAGGTTTTGGAAAAAAAGAGTTTTGAAAGCAAGAGGGAGAGAGATTGGTGTTATATGGGAATGTAAGCAAAAAGGCAACAACAACGACTTACTACTATAACTATCGGGTAGGGGGAGGTTGACAACTAGTCGTATCCCCCTATAGTACATTTTGAGGCATTTCATATCTACCAGGCGTAGCTATGACATCGTCGAAACATCATACTCTTAAACAAAACAAGAAAGAAATAATGCAACATGAAAGCGGTAAAAGAAAGCAATAAAGTAGTACAAGGAAAAGGTTTCGGCGTGTCACGAGCATGTGGCCATGGGTGACATGCCTTGGACAAGCATGACCATGACATCTTCCCCCACTTAATTGGTTGATGTCCCTGTTAACCGTCTCATTTCTTCGAACTCTACAATCTGAGGTGCGGCTGTCTTCAGGTCATCAGCACGTTCCCAACTGATTTCTTCTTTTGGAAGTCCTTTCCACTTGTCTAAAAATTCCTGTAAGTTGCGCTTAGGTTTGCCAATGCGATGGGTTCGCTTGACCAAAATCTCTTCTACTTCCTTCTTACTCGAGTACTTCACCGTTACTAATGGTCGTGTCACTTGGTTGCGTTGTTGGTCGTCGTCGTCTGGATGGTATGGTTTGAGGTTGCTTACATGGATGATAGGGTGAATTCTCATCCATGTAGGTAGTTGGAGACGATATGAAGTCCTTCCGACTTTCTCGATGACCTCAATTGGTCCCTCATATTTTCGCACTAGTCGCTGGTATCGATTCCCCCGAAATCTAAATTGTTCTAATCTCAGCTTGATCATGACTTGGTCACCCGCTTGAAACTCTAATGCTCTTCGTTTACAATCTACCCCCTTCTTCATTCTTCTGGACGCTTTCTCTAAGTACGCTAGTGCTATTTCGAAGGTTTGCTTCCACTCTTTGGTGAAGTTGTACGCTTGAGGGCTTCTCCCAGCATAAGGGTGGTCAATGACATGGTGCATCAGTGGTTGTCTGCCGCATACTATTTCAAAAGAAGTTTTCCCAGTCGACGAGTTTTGTTGGCAATTGAAGCTAAACTGAGCAACATCGAGCATATGAACCCAATTCTTCTGTCGCGCATCGATAAAATGACGTAAGAACTCCTCAAGCATACTGTTGAACCTTTCTGTTTGTCCATCAGTTTGGGGGTGATAACTCGAAGAGACGTTTAGGCTCGACCCCAATAGCTTGAACAATTCTGTCCAGAAGGTCCCTATGAATCTCGTATCGTGATTGCTGACAATGTTGGTGGGAATACCCCACAACTTGACTACGTGTCGGAAAAATAATTGTGCGGTCACTTCGGCCGAGCATGACTTGCGGGTTGGGATAAATGTGACATATTTGGAGAATCTGTCAATGATGACCAAGATGGACTCCATTTCTCCTACCTTGGGGAGGTGTGTGATGAAGTCTAGAGAAATACTTTCCCACGGTTGGGACGAGATTGGTAGAGATTCTAGTAGTCCTGAAATTTTGTTTCTTTCAACATTGTCTTGTTGGCAGATAATACAGGTCTTTGTGAACTATACCGCATCATCACGGAGGTTCGGCTAATAGTACCTCTTTTTAGGAGGACATAGGTTCTCTGTCACCCGTTGTGACCCGCCCATGGTGTGTCATGGCATTCTTTTAGAAGGAGTCTCCTCAAGTTTCCCGAACGAGGGACGTAGAGATGATTTCCTTTGGTGAAGAGTAAATTGTCTTCGACCCAAAACTGATGAGTCTTCCCCTCTCTGGCTAACTGCATGATGGCTTGAGCGGTCGAGTCTTTGGCTAGGTGTTCCTCGATACTTTTCCGTATCGTTCCACTTAAATTACTTGCTTGTAGATGAGCTAACATGCATAGAACCGCATGCTCGCTCTTTTGACTTTAGGGCGTTTGTAGCTTGGTTTGCTTTACCTGGCATGTGTTCGAAGTGGAAGTCAAATTCGGCCACGCATTCCTGCCAACGCGCTTGCTTTAGCGATAACTTGGGTGATCAAAGAAGTGACATATGGAGCTGTTGTCTATCTTGACTACAAATTTGGCTTCAAGGAGGTATTGTCTCCAAGATCGTAAACAGTGGACCACTACCAGCATTTCTTTCTCGGATGATGCGTACCTTCTTTCTGCATCGTTTAGCTTTCGACTCTCATATGCAATGGGGTGTCCCTCCTGCAGTAGGACACCCCCTAATGCGAAGCCTGAGGCATCCGTCTCGACTTCAAAAGGTTTCGTCACATCGACAATCCCTAAAACTGGTACTACCATCATGGCATTCTTAAAGTTGTCACAGGCTTTTTGACATTGTGAAATCTAGCTCCACTTATTTCCCTTCTTTAGTAGTTTGGTCAAGGGCTCTGCGCACTTTGAGAATCTTTCCACGAATCCCCAATAGTAATTTGCCAACCCAAGGAAAGAGCGCACTTTTGTCACTGAGGAGAGCGTCTTCCACTCCTTGATGACTTTGACTTTCTCCTCTTCCATACCTACCTTGTCTACTTCTATTACATGTCCAAGGAAGTTGATTCGCTATTGTGCAAACGCGCATTTTTCCCTTTATACATATAGTTGGTGTTCACTCAACTTTTCAAAAACTAATCGCAGGGGGTGTTCATGCTCTTCCATGGTGGAGCTGTAGACCACTATGTCGTCCAAAGAGACTACCACAAACTTATCGAGATACTCATGGATTTGGTTCATCAAGGTGCAGAATATGACCGGGGCATTAGTCAACCCAAAAGGCATGACTAGGAATTCAAAGGCCCCATATCTAGTGACGCAAGTCGTTTTAGGCACATCTCTCTCAGCAATCCTAACTTGATAATATCCCAACCTTAGGTCAAGTTTCAAGAAATACTTTGCGCCATGTAGTCGATCGAACAAGTCGGTAATGATGGGTAGAGGGTATTTATTCCTGACAGTGATTTTGTTTAGGGTACGGTAGACTATGCATAGGCGAAGACTCCCATCCTTCTCTTCTTCTGAAATAATACTAAGGTTCCATAGGGGCTTTTGGAGGTCTGATGAATCCAACAGTAAGTAGTTCATCCAGCTACTTTCGTAGCTCCACTAACTCGAGTGGAGCCATTCTATAAGAGTTCTTTGTTGGGGTCTCAACCCTAGTATTAGTTCAATCTCGTGGTCTATGCTTCGACGAGGTGGTAAAGTTTTTGGTATACTCTTACTTTGCAATACTCTTCTAGTACACGCTTTATTTCTACGGGAACAATGTCAACCATACTTTCAATTTCCACCATTGGAATGGCCATGAACGTTGGTTCATTACGTGCAAGACCATGTTTAAGTTGGAGCGTCGAAATCATCTTGATTCCATTGGGCTGTTTGATGCGTGTCTGAACAACAGTTGGAGTTGACCCTATTATGACTAGGCAATTGGCCAAGGGTATAGGGGTCACCTTATGTTCCAAAAGGAATTCCATCTCGAGTACCACATCAAAGTCATCCATTTTGACGATTACAAAGTCCACCAAACTACTTCATGTTCCCAACTTAAGTGTCGTCTTCCTCGTTATTCCGAGAATCGATAAGGCTGTTGGGTTTTATGTCCTAAAACTCATAGTTTGTAAACAAAAACATATTCTATTTTCAATAAAGCTATTATTGTTGTTTATTCAGTAAAGATTGTTATTGAATAAAGTGAACTTACGATCATTAATCTAAATCCAATAAACTAAGAACACTCTGGCTATAGTATGATTACTTGAACTATATGTAGAGACATAAGAGTTGATCAAGTTCAAGTATATAGTCAAAATTATCTATAGTATAAGGATAAGGCTGAGTACCTTATTTTGGGGACACTATGGATGCGGCTCACTTTTATAAATAATGTGATCACTAAAATTGTACATGTGGAGACATGTGAGTGGGGGCGTCCTATGCAATGAGTATTGCATAAGATTGGACCATGAAGAAAATCACTCTCACTTTATAATGACGTTTACTATTGAGACTGATTTTCTTTTCATTCAATGACCTAGGTAACTCGATCTTAATCTTGAGCTAACCATGAACCCCTGTTTATTTGGAATTATCCTTAGATTTGCATGGGTGAGAGTGGCTCAAGTTCGCCGACTCAATAGGCCTCACATTTCAGGGGTAAGACGGGGTAAATGGCTGGGGACGTGGGTTGCAAGATGAAATTCACTCCTACCCACTTTTAGGGATAGAAGAGAGGTAATTCCCTTAAGTACTGACTCCAGGTCTTGAACAAGGGGCCCCACCCTCTCATTGGCCTGAGAGGGATTCGGTTTACTTGTTGAATCACAAACCAATTGTTCATTAGAGGATCAGTGAGATATAAGAAACAAGAAGTAACTTCAGGCGTAAAACGGTAAATTGACCCAACTCTACGAACAACCTGTGAAGGATCGACTTACTAATCATGGTTATATCAAATGAACAGAAATATATCTATAGTGAGGGGAGTGCAACTACTAGGCTATAGTGGAATGTTCTAGTAGTTAACGAATGTTGGTTAATAAGGTTAATGAGTTTAACCGGTTAATCTTGGATCTTTGGAGCCCATGATCTATAGGTCCATTAGGTCTCTTTGTTAGCTCATATCGAACTAAACCATAGAACAGTGTGACGAATGAGTTCGAAGTGTTCGAATTCAAATTAGGGAGAATGCACTCCATATATACGATATATTTAATCACATTTTTGTTTTATTTACGAATTAAACAAAAAGAGAGAATCTGAGATATTTAAATAAGATTTAAATATCTTAATTAAATATGTGTCCGAATTAATTGGGATGGGGATTGACATTTGAATTAATATTAAATATTAATTAAATAGTTTAATTAATCATTTCATATTACCTTAATTTGAAATTAATAATTCAAATTGATTGTTGAATCAAAATGAAAAAAAGTCAAAATGTTGACTTCATTTAATGAAAAAAATCCATGTCAGTGGAATTTTGAGGTGTCAAAATTTGGTTTAACCAAACTTGCATGCTTGCCAAATAATACCAAACATTTGAGTGGAATTTTTAGTGTCAATATTTGGTGATCTCAAATTTGCATGAACATGCAAACATGATTCTATAAATAGAGTGATCATAATACATAAAATGTCTTCTTCTCGGTGAAAAACCTTGAGAAAAACCTCTCACAAATACTCTCTTCATATCTACAAAACCCCTTCCAAGTTTAGTCACTCACCGGATTCCACAATCCCGTTCTAAGGCCGGAGGATAGTGCAAAAGACACTAGTGGTGGTTCGAAACTAGTTCGTGAGGAAAAATGAATTTGAACTACAAAAGGTTAATATTCAAACTCATTAAGTTTTAATACTTATGAACATGCTAGTTATTTGCTATAATTGATGTTCTAAAAGTGCCTAAGATCCAAATTGATTCCGCATGTGTTATATTAACACCATCAAAGGCCATAGAATTGATGGCCTTCATCTTTCCCGAGTCTCGATGCAATTTGATGTTCAGCCGATTCGCTTCTTTCTCGGTCATGAAATTGTGGGTGGCTCCTGAATCGACCATCGTATTCTTGGCCAACTTGTGATTCACCCACGCTTCCACATACATGAGACCTTTTGCGATCGGATCTCTTTGTTCCACTGTCTTCTTTTGAAGTGCGGATAGGAACTTCAGGGCTCCCATTTGGGGTGTTTCTACGTTCAGCACTTTCTCGGCTTCTTCGCCCTCAGATTTTGCATCCGCGTCTGCGTCTAATGCGGCTTGAATCGCTTGTAGTGACGACCTCTTTGGGGTTGTCTTGTCTGAACTCCTCCGATCCTCGGTTGTATCCTCCTCCCATTCTGGAGGGATTAGAGGTGTGGTTGCGATTACCTCCACTTGAGGAGGCTTGGTTTCGCCTTGCCTCTTGGAACTGTTCGTTGTTCAAGTCAAACAGTCATTCGACCATAGTATAGGCCGTGGAGAGATCTTCTATGTCGTGTTCATATAGTTTAGACTTCCCCATGGCTTCAGTCCTTCTATGAACTAGAAGATCATATCTAGCTCAGACATCTGTTGAATGTCTAACATGAGTAACAAGAATAGTTGGACATATTCTTGAATGCTACTCGTGTGTTTAAGGTCACGTAATTTTCTTCTAGCCATGATCTCAACATTCTTTGGGAAGAATTGAGACTGAAGGTCCTGTTTTAGTCTTTCCTAAGTGTCTATTGTGCATCGACCCTCTTGGATATCTACATACTTCGATCGCCACCACAATTTCGCATCTTCAGCTAGAAGCATGGTGGTCACAGTGATCTTTTCTTCCTCTGTCTCAGTGTCAGTTGCTTTAAAGTATTGCTCAAGGTCAAAGATGTGATTCTATAAGGCCTTGGCATCCTGAGCCCCAAAGAAAGGCTTGGGTTCAGAAAGTTTAACCTTGTTAGGTCATGTTGTCCTCCGGGTAGGGGTTTGGTTCTCCACTGCCCTTACTACAACATTTAATCTAGCGCTTATGTCCGCTATTTCTACCCTGACTACGTCGAGGGCTGCCTTCACATCTTCAGATAGTTCAATGACCATCTGAAACATCGCTTTTTGGGAGCTATCTAGTCCATCGACTCGCTCCTCAATTAGGCCAGTAGAGCCTGTCGAGTTGTCTCCTCGCTCGAAACCATCATTCTTTGTGGTTTTTGTTTCTAGGTTTTCCATTCGATACATTATTTCTTGAATGTGTAACCCATCCAACCAACCTTTTATCACATAAATGGCGAGGGTCTTCAGCAAGTTCTTTCACTCGCTCATCTAGAAATCGAATACTGTCAGGGACTTCCAGCAAGTATTGCATCTGTTCTTCTATTTCGACTAATCTGTCGACGTGGGACTTGTTCAACTATTTAGTCGAAGACATGTCTACCTGTCACTTTGGAGCCAACTAGGCTCTGATACCAACTATCACAATCGCGGTTTCTAGGCAGCGGATTTGGCGATTGTGTGGCATCCACTCTCAGCACTGAGTGGGTCAAACCTACTTCAAGTTACGTTGCCTGCGGTCAGGAAACGTGAATACAAACCTCAAGTCTCGATTTCAAGAGAAGATTTCAGAAAGTGGGGAAGAGAGATTTTGAGAAAAAAGAGTTTTGAAAGCAAGAGAGAAAGAGAGAGAGAGATTTGTGTTATATGAGAATGTAAGCAAAAAGGCAACAACAATGGCTTACTGCATATAACTATCGGTAGGGAGAAGTTGACAACTAGTCGTATCCCCTTATAGTACATTTTGAGGCATTTCATGTCTACCAGGCGTAGTCATGAGATCACCGAAACGTCATACTCTTAAAGAAAACAAGAAAGAAATAATTCAACATGAAAACGGTAAAAGAAAGCAATAAAGTAGTACAAGGCAAAGGTTTCAGCATGTCACGAACATGCGGTCATGGGCGACATGCCTTGGACAAACATGACCGTGACACCAGGCATAGTGTTGTCTATACTCATGGGTTTTTAGGCTATTAGGTTGGGTCGAAAATTCAGGTCGAAGAAGGGTAAAACAAACTAGGGTCTCGAGCTAGATGCAAGCAGTTGGGTCAATGATTTGAGTCACGAGTCACGCACCGGCTAGCCTTCAAGTCCTATGCAGTGTATTGTTTTCTCTAAAATTTTTTGTAGCCAATCAGACATTGACATGTGTCGTCTTTCTAGAGTCGTGCACTTGTGTTTGATTCGGGTCGAGGTAGTCTCCTAAATGATGAATTTTCTTGATTTATTTCCATAACTTTCTTTATTATTATCTTCTTCCTATTATCTTTTGATTTTTTTAATTAAAATTATTTTCCTACCGTTTTGTTTACTACATAAAGAAGTACAGCTTTGTCAATCATAAAGTTGTGTTATATTCTTTCGAGAACCCATCAAAATTTTAAAAACCTAAGTTCAAGAAACTCCAAAATCAAAGCTAAAAGCTTAAAACACTTTGTGTCTCGATCTTCCTCGTTTATTGATGGATTCGAACCATTCAAATATCTATCTTATCATGAAATTCCACATAAAAACTCTTTAATAAAATTTCAAAAATGTTAACTTTAAAAAATTAATAAACTAATTCACGTTTATAAATACGATGGAAAATATACTAGATAGATTTAGAAAAAAAATGTCAACTAGCAAAAAAGTCTTCCAGAGTTTGAAAGAAGAAAAAGAACATACCCAACGTTATGATTACAAATAGATTATCCTATTCGGTAGAGAATCACGGGCCTTTCAGGGCAAGGTTCTTTAGACTATTGTTCTCATCAAATATACCGAACGTAAGTGAAGCAAGGATTGTGGCCACTCTCTGAGGATGCATGATGAGGAGAATATGCAAAGTCCTTATGCTAGGATGGAGGTCACCCCAAGATGTGTAAACGTTGACTAATAAGATAGTTGGGTTAATAAGAAATCCCAAAGGAAATGTGGTCAGAGGCTTGAGCAATGAGATCCTGTCCTCTTACAAATTAGAGGGATTTAATTTATAGTTGGATCATTAAAAAAAAAAATCATTCGAGAATTAGTAGTACATATATAATTACAAAGCTAAAATGAGTTCTAACTCCGTTATAATTTTGGATAGCTAGTGGAAGATGGATTTGTTAGTAAAATTTATATCTATGGACACAACTCATTCGATAGCGGGTAGAGAGTTTCAACCATAGAGCAATACTCTAAATGCTTTTTACTTCGAAAGTTTCGAAAGTGTTCTATCGTTCTACAAGTTTTCCATCCGCCTCAAAGCAAGTCCCCACAAGACAATGCAAGTCATTTACTTATACTTGTATTTCATCTCTTCAACAAGTGTATGGTCACATTGTGTATCATAACCATCGCTATCATGCAAATTCACCACGTTCAAGTAAGGATTCATCTTGTCGTGATTTTGTTTCACACTAAATTTCTCTCTGGACTAAGACCCGCTAATTCTTATAGCCTAAAAGAAATTTGACCTTCAAATCGTGTCTATGTATCTTAAGGGAAAGAATCTCAGATTCAATACATGAGACCAATCAACACTTCAAAATAGAAAATTTACAACAATGTAGTGACCCAATATCGAGATAATCGCATACGATACCGACCATATAGCAAGATAATCTAAAATGGTAGGGACCAAATACAAGATTATCTCACACCAAAAGTTTGAAAATTTAATCACCGATAAGCAACTTGTGTCAAATCTCATCATCCATCCCTAGATGGATTATATTCATTTTTACAAATCATCTACATACTTACACAATACTTATTTTTTTTAAGCTCGATGTGAAATTTAAACTTGTAATCGATGTAGAGTACATATTTATTTGATATATATGGCATACATTATTCTCAAATCATAGAGACAGATGGAGTCAGTTTTATTACCCTCACCAGATGTAACGGTCCAAGTCCACTGTTAGCGGACACTTTCACTTTCGGGCTTCCCCTCAAAGCTTTAAAACGCGTCTGCTAGGGAAAGATTTCCACACTAGGTGTATCATTCTTCTCCCCAACTAATATGGTATATCACAATCCACCTCCATTCAAGGTCCAGCGTTCTCTCTGGCACTTGTTTCTTTCTTCAGAACCCAACATCCTTATAGCAAACCGCCTCGTGTCTACCCTCCTTCGGGAAACAGCCTCTTCGCTGGCACATAGTCCAATGTTTGGCTCTAATACCATTTGTAACAGCTCAAGCCCACTGCCAGTAAATATTGTCCTCTTTGGGCTTTCCCCTTCAAGCTTCCACTCAAGGCATTTAAAACACATCTACTAGGGAAAGATTTCCACACCCTTATAAAGGTTGTTTCGTTCTCCTCTCCAACTAATATGGATATCACACTAGATCAGTTCCGACCAACACACGACATCTTAGAGAAAGATTTTCAAAACTAACAAAAAAGAACTAAAGCCCTGATCACATATCAAAATGCAAAAACAGAATAAACGGGTGAGATACGGGTAAGAACACAGAAAAATATAGTTATATATGTATATATATGTTTGTATAGAAGTACAATGAACATTAAATAATGAGAAAGAAAAAGAACATATTTCCCCCCTAAGTTAATTATATACCAAATTTCCCATTAAATGCCTCTTGGCTCCTCCTTTGGCCCTCACATATATATAATAAGCTAGCTCCAAACCAGAGAGACACCTTTTTTGTTGTTAAAACTACAAGAGAATTGCAGAATTAATTTAAGCTTATAAGTTGCACCAATCCCTAATTCAAGGTTCGAAACCAAACCCCTTCTGCCTCCTTTTTTTTTTTTTTAATTTATTTTTTCCTTCTTACTCCTTTGATCTGTACAATATCTTTCCTCAAAATTTCCCTTTATGTTCTCCCAATGATTGCATCACTGAACATGCCACAGCTTGTGCCCAATGTCTCAATTTTGCCTTCACTTGCTTTGGATCTTCCCCTAAATCCATAAAAATTGACCCGAAATTAGTTTATTTTGTTACATGAACACGACTCTCCGTAATATCAGCATAAGCTCTCATCGCTTAGGTCTCATATTAATGGAGATTCGTGATTCCTAACACATTAACAATAGCTATGTTCATATACCTGGACTGCAAACCCTCCATGTTTCAGACTCACTTTTGGGGCTCTCGAACGATGAAGACCTTGCGCCGAGAGATGACGACGAGGTGCTGCTATGGGGCGTAGACACCGGACTTGGAGAAAGCTGTCGGTTAACGGCGAAGTAAAGGTCAAGGGCTGGCAATGTACCACATAGTTTGTGACCATCTTCCTCTTTGAATGCAAACCCTAGCTCAATACAACCTTTGAGCTCATTCCAATCCTCATCAGTCAAGTCATCTCTATCGGTTGACGCGTTCCTTGGGCGGAGCATTTGTCGTCGTCGCTTCTCCCATGCGAGGTCCCTCGGTGTTTCGCACATTGAAAGTTGCTTCGACAAACGCTTCTTGTTCTTTTGGCGCGGCGGTGCCAATGGCATGTGTTTCAGCTCATCCTCCGACTCGTGGAGTGACGGGCACGATGACGATGATGATAGAGATGATGACATTCTTTGGAAGAGTTTCTTGTCCATTAGGGTCATGTCAAAAGAAAAAAAAATTTAAAAGAAACAAAAAAGTGAGTGGCAGTAGCGGTGACGACCCGCCAGCCACACACACACACGAGGTTAGAGGGCTGGGGTCGGGGACAGGGAGGAGGCCGAGATGGGAATTGGTATAAGAAGAAGGCCAGAGCCAGCCCGACCGAGTGAGGGCAGAGAAGAAGGAGAGGGCTTTAATGGGGAGAAGGAAAACAATGATATGGCCATCATTCTCAAGGTGGTTAATTCAGTTATTGTCCTTCCAACCATTCCTTTTCAACTAACCCTTAATATAGTTACTTCTTTTCTAGTTTTCTATACTTAGAATTTTTTTGGATTTAGGGATTTTTGGGTAAAATATTATATTATTCTTGTTTCCCTAGGTATTCTTATATCACGTCACCGGTTCAACTCATTCGGTCCTGGTCGGCTTGGTTAAACCATATTTTTTACTCATTTATACCGTTTAAAGCCTACTTTTCGATCCATTTTTATCGGTTTCACGCTTTTTAATTGAGGAGTTTCATGAAATTTGAGCCAGAGGAAGGAGATAAACTGAGCCGAGGAACTTTCTCGAACAATGATTGCAGTCTTCAATTAATATATTAACGATCGTCATGTTGTCATCGAACCAAGATGCTAGGATTGATCTATTTGACATGTGATTGTATGCTTATGAGCTCGAAACTAATTTTATAGGATTATCGAATTAGCTAATGATGAGTGACTTGTGATCTATTGCATTGAAAATCGGGTAACTTAAGATTACTATCGTGTTCTTCGAATTTGTATTTCATTAGTAGAAATCAACCGAATTATATATGAATAATGAATCATAAACCGTTCCTTTGATTTTTGAGATAAAATTTAAAAGTAGGGATTACGCATTAGAAATTAAAACACAATGGATGAGATTTACCCTTTAGGTATGTTACGACTTAATTTTTAATGTTTCGAATCTCGGACAGGGAATAAAAAGATGAAAAGATGAAGACAAAAGCAATTAAAAATAAAAGATGAAAATTTGATAATATTTAAATCGAAATAAAGAAAACAACACAAAATTTAAATATAAAATAAAATTCAATTATAAGACAGTGTTATTTAAATTTATTACAAACGGGGAAATGAGTTTACAAAACGAAATACAAAAGACTTAAATACAAGAACGAAATGACGCTTTTTACGACCTCCTTTGTAACCGAACAATTCTCGAACGCTCTACCTCAACTGGTAGCCTCTGAACACTTGAAAAAGAAAAGAGAAAGGAGTGAATATAAAAATAGTAAGTAACTAACGTACTTGTAGACTCTCATTGCATTTTTATGCTAGTAAGTATCTATGGACTTTACTATGGAAAGTTTGGGCCTCGTCTCTCGCCTCGAAGTTTCAAACAATATTTTAACTGCTCAATGACCCACTCTGGATTCGAATGAGGTAGTTCACCTTTTTCTAGCATCGTGGATCGGCCGAACAAGTCTCATCTTTAAGGTGAACTACTATTTTGTTCTTTGACATTGGGTAGCTTTCTTTGATGTCATAGATGTCTACTAGATTCTTAGGGACATCTAGGCTGTTTAAAACTTGTATCTTGTTTCCAGGACGTCTAGGACCAACTCCTCAAGCTAATCCACCTTTTGGGTGCACACAGGTCTATGCCTCTGTTCGTTCTTACTCATCCTTATTGTCCAATTCATATTCTAGTCATGCATATTCACTCTCTAGCTCTGGATAAAACATAAAACAACACACTTCTAAAAAAAAACATATAATCCTAGTAGTATAACGGTAATTTTTCATAACATACATACAATACATATTCATCCAAAAACGCCCCTCCAAAGTCTTTAACATGCATTTTTTAACAACCTAAGGTAAGGAATGCTTGCATGCTAGCACCTCATAACAACCTCTAAAGTATTACTTGCCTAAAGTCCATGTGTTTACTTACTTCGATAATGTGTGCCTTCTTGAACTTGGTTTTTTGCGTGTTAGAAGCTCCAAAAAAAAAATTTAAAATTTATTTGGTATGTCCTAGTTTAAGTTAAATTAGAGTTAGTATAGAAATTAGAGCGAAAATAGTCAAACAAAGGCTGAACGGGGTAAAAAGGTAGACTCACGCGCCTACACGCACAGAAGAATGCTCCCCGTGCACCCGTACGAACACACCTAAGAGGGGTGTAGACACTCCCTCGAAGTGACATATGGCACACACTAATTGGCTCTTCCATTGAGTTAGGCAATTTGGGTTGAAGACACAATAAATTGGTTGGTTGAGATCGAGCAAGCCTTCGAGTCTCGATAGACATAAACAACATGTTTTTTCCCTCCTTTTTTCCAAGTATGTGTGTTTCACTATCAGGGTTTAAAGGTCACTACTAGGACGCTAATGTCCATTAGAGCATGATTAGTATCACATAGACTCTAATCCAATTGAGTATGTCCGATAATCTAGCATCACACAGTGCTGGTGCATAATCTGCAAAAGCCAGAGGTACCTTAAGTCGGCACAAACATCGTCGGTCTCTTTAGAAAAAAGGTTGTACTCTTGGATCGTTTTCTCACCTATTTTAGTTCAAAGAGGCTTCTTAATTCTTAAGCTAGGCTACTACAAGGTAGTACTTCATTCCGGAGACACCTTTGAATTGGGGATAAGTCTCTAGCTCTTCCTCAATGCTGAAGACATGCTTGCTTTCAGGTGGTTTATCTCCACATACTGGATCCAGGAATCAATATATCATCCATATAGAGGAGTAGAAACACATAAGAATCAGTGTATTTCTTGAGGTAACAACACTGATTCTTTTCACTGTGGTGGGAACCATTCTTGCACATGAAGGATTCAAACCTCTTGTACCCTTTTCTCGATGCTTGTTTCAGTCCATACAAACTCTTATTGAGCTTACACATCATGTGTTCTTTGCCTGGAGCTGCAAACCTTCTAGTTGTTGCATGTAGATCTCCTCATCTAATCTCCATGTAAGAACGTTGTTTTTAAATCCATTTGCTCAAGGTACAAATTCTCTAATGCAACAATACTCAACAAAATTCGGATAGTAGTTAATTTCAGAAGAAAAAATCTCAGCATAATCAATGTCTTTCCTTTATGAATATTTTTTAACTACTAATCGAGCCTTGAACCTCCTTTTGCCATCTAGTTTAGCCTTGATTTTGAATATCAATTTATTCAACAGAGCTCTCTTTCAGGTAGGTAGCTCAGTCAGCACCCACGTAATATTCTTTTCAAGTGAGCTTATTTCATCATCTATGGCTTGCTCCCACTTGGTTGAATCTTTCACCTTTAAGGCTTCGTCAAAGAACTTTGGTTCTACTTCGTCAGTCGGTAACATATGAGGTAATGAAAATGAATATTTATTTGGTGTTCTGATATTTCTAGACGATCTCCTTAACACTTGCTCAAGTGTAATTTGAGTCACGTCTAGTCTTCAGCAATAGTCTCAGGAGTTTCTTAAGCTTCTAGTGTAACATCATCGGGTGACTTTTCTTGCAACTCAAGTTGAACTCTCACTTGCTTTGTAGTTTCAGAGTTCATTTTCTCTTTGTTCATGTACATGACATTTTCATCAAATGTCACATCCCAATGTCTTAGGATCTTCCTATTCTTATCTTCCCAAAACTTATCCTTGAACATATAAGAGTCATAGCCTATGAAGTAGCACTTCACAACATTAGCACCAAGCTTGTCTCTCTTCTCTAGATCAATGTGAACATACGCAGTACAACCAAAAGTTTTCAAGTG